GCATCGTATCGATATTTTTAATTGTCCGCTCGAGTGATTCCACTGATGATCTCCTCATCGGATACCAATCTGACTTATAGCAAGAAGTACTCTTTGACGTCGATACTCCACACAGATGTGGCCCTCACAATAAGTCGATACACGCGCACACCTCGCGGAAAACAGCCCGCAAGCTGGACTAATGGAATTGGTGCAGTCAATCGGACGCCGCAATGTTCTCTTCGCGTCCAGTCGGCTGGGCAAAACGACCTTTTCCTCAACTTTCCTCTCAATTTTCGAACACTACATTGAATTATAACTCGGAAAGCGCAACTTCATTAAAAAGTATGAAAGGCTGAAACGGCACAATGAAAAGCCACAAAAAGATTATAATAAAAAGCGAATCGAAAATCAAACGCAATAAATAAAAAGAGTACACCGATGTATTTAAAACAAAATAAAAGATTCTTTTTTTCAAATTACACACAACTTTTACAGATAAGTGTAATCTTTATTTTTTTTTATATCAAAAAGTTTATCTTAGATCAGAATAAATTTTCACATTGTTAAATAAACGTTATTAAACATTATTAGAAATACAGATTTTAAATACTTTATATAAATTCTAACACATTTTTTGATACAAGATCATAATGATTATGGATAATTTATATATAAGAAAGCAAAATGTTACAATTTAAATTTAATTGTTGGCAAAGCCTCTGTAATTTTGAAAATTCTTTTAATGTTCGAAATCATCAAGAGATTAATTGTTCCATATTATTTTCTCACGCCATGTATTATTTCAATTTCTCTAATATACATTTGCAAATACTCGCGTATCTAAGATATATATATTCGTTTCTTTTCTTTCGTTTCGCAAAAAAAAAACGTCGGCCGTCTTTTGTCTCAACAACAAAAGCCCCATAAATTCAACGTCCGTCTCGAGCATATAAAGCGAATCGACGAGATCGAGGAACAAATCGTAGGAAGCGATCAGTAACGATTGCCTCGCATCAATACGTGACAGAGCGAGATCGCGAGGGCTCTTCCCACGTGAGAATCAGCTTGCGAGCGGCCGGCCTCGTCTTCCGCCGTCCGCTCGGCACATCGAAGATGCTGCCAAGAGACGGGACTCCCGAACGCAACTCCCTGGCGCAACGTGTGTTTATGCACGACGAGCGTGGCCAGTCTCTTCTTTTGCAGCCAGGGAGTGTAAGTGGGTGATGGAACGGAGAAGAAAGCAGGACGGAAAAACAGCCCGCGGTAGAAAACCACCACCGCGCCGCGCCGCGACTCATTTACCTACATCGATTTATTGCGACGAGGAGGAAGATTATATCTACGGAGCGGGATCTCGGCCGGCATCGTGCATCCGCGGCGCAGTGGATCACGATTTAATTGGTCTCCGCCGCGAATCGATCTCGTAACAGTTTCCTTTCCTTGCCGCCCACCGCCTGTCGGCCGGTCGCCCACGGCGGAGGAGAGAGAAGCGCCCGCAGAACGCATCGCTCGCGCAACCCTCTCCCCCTCTCCCCCCCCCCCCTCCCTGCGTCTACGTCGCGTCTGTACTATGCCACGCCGCCCAGAGGGACGATTTTCTGTTTAAGTGCGGCAAACACGCACATCGGATACTATACGCTCTCGGGGAAAGATAGCGCGTCGTTAGATTAATAATCAGCAATTTGCGCACGCCGGAAAGAATGGCGGCACCGCTCCTTGCTTGTGGATCATCTGTAAAGTGTGATGGATTGGATAATGCAACGTGAGTAGATGCGTTATATCTCGCTACACTTCGGATAAAAATAATGCTTCTCTTCTCATTCTTCTAAACTGATTGACGCAATTTTTTTTTATTGGAGAAAATTATATTATGATTTCTTCTTGGTTCGTTAAAATTGTTTGCTAATTCTGAATCAAAAGTCGCAGGCTTTATCTTTTCATTTAGGCGCGCAATATATGCAAGCTTAAAAAGAAATACACGATATATCCTATGTGTATGCGCGTTTATTTTCATCTCTCAGCTTCGATATAGATTCCACCGACCGCGGGGTTAACATTTAGCACCCATTCACGTTGACGCGCGACAGGCGCGTTCACCCGACATACCAGTTAATAAATGCTATGCACCCAATTATCTTTATGACATGACGTCAAGGTGCGTGTCATCTGGGACACGCCCATAGTAAAATTTTCAACCCGGCAAAATCCCCAGAAAATCTTGACAGGCGGTTTCACCCGGCGGTCGGCAGCCGTCTAATCCGAGTGAAAATGCAGCGAATAAAATGCGTTATACCTTTGACTGCACACGCGCATAGAAAATCGCGCAAGAGAAAATCGAAATAACAACATTTAATATATCGACATCATGAATATCAAATTATGTTACCGTTATCAAATCTTGTAAACGTATGTATATATTAATAAAAGTCTAATAACGACGATGGAATTATCTATCACAAGGCCATGCTATTATCAGCATACGTTGCCCCAGAAAACTCATTTATATAAATAGCAAATTTTGCAATGTCAACCAAGAGGAGAAATAATAATTTTAAAATGTATACATGTAAATATCGTAAATAAAACGTTTTCTTTCCTTCTTTTTCTTTGAAGAAAGAATTTAAATGTGAGTAAAAATTTTATCATAAGTATGAAAATAAAATATCGTGGATTACTGTATACAAAAGATATCACATAATATATAAGATGCAAGGACGTTATGAAACGTGCCTGTCTTTCTCACACAGACAAGTTAATAATATCATCTTAATAATAATATACACACCCACGATATGCGATTATTTTACCCGATTAAATTACCCAATTATCGTCTACGACGTAGTATTGGAATATGTATTTAATGTACGTCAAGGTAAATTTCTTGTCGAGAGACGATTCAAAAGGAATCTTGACAGACGTTTCTTCTCGCCCACGTGAAAAAACGTTAAAGTACAGATAATAGCGAGCGAAAATAAAATAAAATTTATTTTGTGTTAAATAACGATATGATCTTATCATTATTTTATAACAGCCGTATTTCGTTACTAAATACATTTTATCTGCGATTTTACTGGCACAAACTAGTAATAATTTGAAAATTCTCATCCCAAAATATTAATAAAATAAGTAAAAATTAACCGTGACAATAAACATGAAAATAAATGACATAATAAAATACATTTAGTAAGGAATAATAACAAAATATAGCTGTTATAAAATAATAATAAAATCACATTGTTATTTAACACAAAATAAATTTTATTTTATATCCTATTTTTCGGAAAAATAATCACCAGGAAATAAATTGTATTTTATATCATATTTTTCGGAAAAATAATAACTAAGGAAAATACAAATAGCAAAGCCATCCGTATAATCCGTATAATGCTTTTCACAAGCGTTTGAAAAATACAGTAGACAGGCGTGTAAAATCTGTCTCACGGTTTTGTCGAGAGAGAGAGATACAGAGGTAAAAATTTGACCGTCTTTTCATGTGAACGAGTTAATAGTATTGGCTTAATAATCTCATATGGTGTATACGTCCATATTATTCGGTTCATGCGATCCGCCTCGATTAAATTACCTAATTATCTCCCGTGTGACGTTAAGATGCATATCCGGTGTCAAGGTGAAGTCGCCTACCGAGCGAATCCGTAGAAAAGCTTGACGGCCATTTCATTTCGCGGTCTGCGCCCACGCGCGCGATTGCGTGATTAAGACGAATTTATACGGTTCATTCTCCGCGCGATGCAAAATGAATGCGTCGGATGAACGAGTTCTTGTTTGAACGCACCGTCGGAAGTGGATTGCCCCGTTGAGCTCTGCGTAATTCCACGGATTTCCGTGACTTGGCAAAAAAAAAAAGAAAAAAAATCCAAATAAAAATTTAATTACATTAGATTCTGGAGAAACTAGTTTTGCCGTACCGCCGATATATATTGAAATAATCCGAATTGCAAATTGCTCCATGTTGCAAATTTAATGCGCAAAAATAAAATACTTTCTTGAACAAAAAAAACGGATGATTATCTTTGTAGGAGCAATTTATAAAATTTGCTCTTTCTCAGGTTGTTCAGAGTGATCATCGTGAAAAGAGTGAACCGGTGTAGATTCGCTTTCTTCCGAGACTTGGCCGCAAGGCTCGTGAATTCACGATGGTAAATCACGAGCGAGAATATCCCTTTCGACACGTGCGCTGTACGGCCGTATTGTATGTTAATAGCAATTATCCGAAAGGGATAGCAATTGGCAATTGGCCTATGGCTATGGAATAATGGCGCAAGTGTTTTCCCTCGCACACGCCACACGCGTGCTGGTCAGGCGCAGGATCTTATATCAAGGATATTATTCAGAGTGGCGCCAGAATATCGCTTTAACATCGTATCTAGACGGCAAAAAAAAACGAGAAAGGAAGAAAAGGAGAACGGCCACGTGTTAAATACGGATTTAAATGACGACTGCCTCTTCGTCCTGCACGAACATGGCGTCCTGAGTTCACGGCGACATACGAGTTCACGGCAAAGCGTTGCCGAGCAATGACGTAAATCCTAAAAGATCGCGCGCATTTGTTACCTCAGCCGGAACGAATGTAATAACGTTATATGTCGTTCTTGTGTCTCTTTTTGTTTTTTAGCGCTCGATTTCTGGATCCAGCACAAGTCACTGATCTCAGTTCAAAGAAAAGCAACATTTGTAAAAAGACTCGACATTCGCTGATAAAATTTATAAATGACTTGATTTCGTTACACAAAATAATGCCTCGAAATCACGAAAAAGAAAATTGTTTTCATAATAAAGCAGCATTCCTTTATAAAATACAAACTAAATAATAAATACATTAAAGTACAAATCGAATATAATTTCTAGAATAATGAGTAAATAGAGGGTCCGCTCGGAGCCAGGAAAAAAATGACCAAAAATCATTTTTTCATTGAGAGCCAAATCTGTCTGTCGTAGGTAGATTTTCGAAAACAGAAAAACGAAGAGGGAGACGTATATCTCGTGCAGGCACGACTTACCGCAGTAATGGACCAAAATGTGAAGAGTTCCAGCGTGGACGCGGCTGTCGCACCAGGAAGCGGCGTCGACTGACGGCTCGAAGAGGGAGAGGTCGAGGCCCTCCATATCGCTCTCGCCGCAGGAGTCGCTCAAGGGCTCGAAATTATTCCCGTTGGTCCCCTCATCCTCGTTCGCCAATTCCTCGGAAAGGTTCTCGCCGCCGCCGCCTCCGCGGCATCGGGGCGTCAATGCCATTTTCGGTTGAATACTCTCTCGCGCGCGAAAACCGCAAGGTCCTTCTCTCCGCGTGCGCGCGCGCGCGCGCGCGCTGCCCGCTTAATAAGACCCGCAGTGTATGCGCTCGGCGGAGCGTCGAACTTTTCTCACGGTGATATATATATATATATATATATATATATATATATATATATATATCTCGTGCAGCATCAATTCTTTCCACAAATTCTTACCGCCCTTACGTCTCACGTGAAACCCACCTCCTCGCTCCACTGCAAGCCTCACCTTTTCATTTCACGGTAACTCGCATTCGTTCGTCTGGGGAGAATCGGTTGGGATCTTTCGCGTGTTGGAAATGGTGTGGAAATGGTTTCTTCGTCCGTTGTGCGATGCGAGATACACAGAGAGTGCTCTACGTTTCCCTTGCGTAAAATTTTAATGACAGATCCTTCGTTCGAGGATCTAAACTTTTTCCGCTTCGCAAACGGTTTAAAAAAAAAAAATTTAATAAAATTTAATAAAAACTTAATCCAAAGATATTTAAAGAAGTAAAATCTTTTATATAGAAAGGGTTTAACCCAGTTGAATTTATTGAAGAATCTAAATTCAAATCTAGATTTGGACGTGATTCAGATAAAAAAATATATATAAAAAATTTCTCTAAGAAGAGAGAACCTAAATATTGATTATATTCACTTGTCATACCACGTTCATCCTTTCATTATGCACTTGTATGCACTAAGAATATTTATACGTATTTGTGCAATACAAGATACATGTACAATTCTACACATAGCAATTCTTTCCAGATCGTAAATATGGGTATGGGTTTGGTAATCATGGCGTTTTTCTAATGGCATTCATAAATTAGCCCCACGCCAGACTAATAACCGTCATAATAACTCCCACCGACGCGCGCTGCCGATTTTTTCCATAAGTTACGCGCTCTACCATCCTAATTAGGTTCAGCTTCTAATTACTTGCCGACTTAAAGTAAAAAACGGAAGAGGAACTAGAAATTGATCAATTTCTCTTCGATTCCGATTTTAAATTCTTGACGTGGCACATTTAACGCAATAACTATCATAATGCATGAATAAATCCGAAATTGAGAATTAATTATTTTTCTAATGTAACATCACAATTGTCTTTTCATATTCTTCAAAATTCAATATTACAGTTAAAATTCAAAATTATTTAGAAATTATTTAAAAAAATATTTATAACTTTAAAAATACTAACTAATTTTAAAAATACTTTTTGTTACTTTCGTTAACTAAGAAGTGTATCCCTTGAAAATGTCTTTATATAAAATGTATGATTTTTTTAGAAAATATAAAAATATGAAATAAAATCTTCTTATTTTGAAATTAAAAATTTTAGTCTCAAGCCCTACAAGACAATATTTGCTGAGTCGCCTCAGGAGGTCTCTATTTAATTAAAGTGAGTTTGTAATTAATTGCATGTTGCCTGTCCATCTCTTGTATAACATGTTGAAGAAGAGTTACGAGATAACATGAACACAAAGTCATAGGCCAAATAGAGAAGTTGTTGTGGATAATAAGTTATTCACTCAAAAATTCACAGCAACACACTATGTCACACTTAATCACACTATTAATGTCAATAACAGATATAATTAAAGAAATTATTATAGTAATTTATTAATTTTTTGCTCAAGATCTGTTTTAAATTCGTAACAGAGCGTGTCATAATCAAATAGAGAAAAAAGTTTCCTTTTCACAGGAGATGTGCAAATGTTATGTCTCACTAATCTCAAAAATTTGGTATCATGTTGGCAATTCCATCGAAATGATCCAAATGAAACAGCCAAAATTAAAAAAAAAAAATATTTTGTTAACCAATTAATTGGTGTCAACATATGTAGCGTAGAATTAAAATGTCGAGGCGTGTACTAATTAATTAAGAGTGACAGACAGGCGCGACAGCTTCAAGCCTGTAATCTTCGATCTGGTCTCCTTGTATGAATTCATTGAGCATGACAAAGTCGTTCGTAAGGAGCCTACCGTGTCAAATACGCGTGAGACACGCGCGAGAAGGAAAGCGGGGACTGTCGCGCGTTCTCTCAACGCGCGCTCGCTTTCTCGGGCAAACGGCTAGCCCGTGCTAACCTGTCATTACGAATCTTTCAAGTTCAAGAGCACGATGAAGGAACTCACTTTCTCGCTGTCACTCGCTGTCACTCGCCGATCACGAGACGTGCGTATGTGGAACAAGAGATTGGAACGCCGTCCTTCGTGCGTTTAAGCCTTCTCTTTTTCAATTTATTTATATATTAAATATACTTTACGTAAATATTTATTACGCATTTTATTATTATTATTATTATACGTGTACTAAAAAAAAATTATATTTCAAATTAATATTTAAACGCTTGAATATTATAAATATAAAATACATTTTATCAGACTCGTAATGTTTAGTGCGAATAAATTTTGTTTTTATTCGCATACAATTCTTTCTTTTAACGATGTCAAAACCGTGATGTGAGAACATTTTAGTGCAAAACAGTGGAAATAGACTGAGAGCGAAAGGGTTAAGCAGGAATGAGACATTAATTATCTCGTGGTTCTCGCGCGCGAGCCAGATGTAAATTATGACACTGGCGTTCCGCTATCTCTCCAGTACCGATAAATTATTTACACGTATTTACGCGGCACAACTTCCCGAGGGACTCGCAGATAAAAGAGAAAAAAAACGGGTTTCGCGAAAAAAAGAGGAAAATGTTAGCGACGCTGACATAAAGGATTCGCATACCAACCGGCCAAATACCGATGTATTTATATCTGACAAACATCTAATACGCAATCGTTAGTCGTACGTACGAAGGACACATAATCCAGTCTACGAATCGTTCTCATATAATGCCATTGACTCGTTTTCATAGAGCTCGTGGCAACCAGGATGTTTCGTGGAATCATTAAATTATTATTATTATTATTATGTCATGTAGAACTTCAATGATGATGAAATATATTGCTCTTTTAGTTTTTTTATAGTCTGAGCATTGATAAAAAAAAGATAAATTTTTTGTTTTCAAATAAAGTTGTTCTTGTACATAAAAATATTTTCAAAAACGTTATTTTCATATAACAAATGCTTGCAATACAAAAATCTACAAAATATTCAAAATTTTAACAATATGCAATATTATATTATATTCTCAAATTCACAAAAACATTTATGTCATTGAAATTAATTATTTTCCAAAATATTTGTAACTGCTCACATAATTATTCTACTTTATTTAAATCAATTATAAAAGAAATAAAAAATAAACATTTAAAAAATGTTGGTATTAAAAATTAAATTTATCAGAAATTAATTATTGAACTCAAAAAATTCAATAAAGTCCAGAAAATTGAAAATCCTTGTAACAAATTCGATGTTCAATCATACGTCATGCAATTAAATCCGATATTTATTTATTCATCAAATAATAATTGAGTTATTTGATAGCAGCTATCTGGGTCAGTGTAAATAATATTGCTACAGGAATATTGCATCGAGGAAAATGAAGAGAGAGAAGCGTTTATTGTCTATTTTCGAACCGAATGCTCGAAATCGACGCGATCAGCCTCGAGCGTTCTTCGATCATGGCCAATTATCGGTAATCCACAATTTGCATGAACGACCGAGATTTTGCGTTTTCGTAGATACGCGTGCGCCAAATTTATTGCACGTGTGTGCAATGCGTGTGGCGGAGATGAAGATCATGCTCCGTTCTGCGACGATCGTGCCGAAGATCACGACGCGTGAACTGGTTTCGCGCCCAAGAGTTTACCGGGAGAGCTCGCGCGTGGAGCACGCACGAGGAGCAAAGATGACAGGGAAGGAGAGAAAGACGAGATGGGCGAGGAAGCGAGAGAGGGAGGGAAAGAAGAGGATAAGGAAAGCGACCGTCCGGAGAGGTCGTTCGCATCCAGAGTTCGAAGTTGGCGGGCGAACGTGTAATCGCGTTTCGTGACTACGGCGTAGAATTCGTTGCCCTCTGCCCTTTCCTTCCCCTTGTCCTGTAAAGCGTACGACGAAGGACGAAAAAGAAAAGGGTACACGGCAGAGAGAAAAATTACCGGATCGCACGAGATTTTTTTTGCGAGGGCGTAGCCGAAAAGCGCAGGGAAATTATGGTCGACGAAAAGATCCTCGCTCATAATTTGGTATAATTAATCGCGGGTAAATGAAATACGGCGTCTCGTAACTTTCCCTCCTATCATTGTGTTCATTGAACGCGAAATATATATATGGACAGTGGAGAACGGAGATGTTATCGTGAAATATGTACACGTGAGAACGTTAAAATATATATATATGTGTGTGTGTGTGCCTCGTCACAATAGCGGAATTATCTTCGATTTTTGAGGCTTCAATTACGGACGAGGATTTTCTCGATAAATTATCGTGCTGAATTGCGCGGAAACCGAAAAATAGCACCTAAGATTTCTTCTCCGATTCCTTCGATTAACACATACTGACCCAACGATCTTGCACGATAATTTCAGCAGCTTACCTTCCCGGCGCGAACTATCGACTATTGCGAAGTTAACAATGGGAGCCTGTCGAAATCACGTTCCCTCCGTTCTACACGTGCGAGGTCGACGATCATCGCTCGTAACTCGCATTAACATCTCTTCAAAACGTCAGACGAAGATCATTATCGTATCTCCTTGATCCGTTATATAACATGCGAATAAACGATCTGGGATCAAATACAGTTCCCTATAATTTCAGGTGTGCTACATCTTCAAATTATCTCATTACGGAGAACGTTGCTTAGGAAATAGCGAAGTTTATTGAAAACGCAGCCGCTAAAGCGATAATTCACCTCGATTAAATTTAAATATTATAATTTATTCGCAATCATAAACAAAAAAATAATGTTATTACCTGCTTTCTATATTCCCCCCCCCCCCTATATTTTTATATTTCTTTACAGACATAATAATCAGGATAAATCCTTCATACGTTCATCGAAGAAATTTAAGAATCTTTTTCATTTTTCTGATTTTCCCGACATTTCTTAATTGTCTTCATAATTTTCGTTGTTCATTATCTCTTGGGAACCTCCTTGACTAAAAAAAAAGGAACCAACATACGCATAAACATCCGATATTTACACAGGAACGTCACTATTCCTGGTCACAG